TTTTTTTTTTTTTTTTGACAAATCCAATGACAATGATTGTTTTTGATTAGCCTTTTTTTTTGCTTTTACTCGTCTGATTTAATTACAATTTTGTATTGCAGTAATCTAATAATAATTTTTTTGTACTTTTTTCTTTTTAATAAAATTCTTATTTTAGACATACAGTTTAATCAAGGAAAACAAAAAAAACAAAAAAAAATCAGACCATACGAATCTGTTGTTATCACAGTTTAGTTCTATCTATTATTACCCTTTGATAACTGTATTTGGCTATAAAACAATGACTAAAGTTAAAAAAAAAAATTTAATAGCCACTAAATAAGTGTAGAAAAAAAAATAATTGCCTGTTTTTTGTTTTTTTCTTTTTTGGACACCAATTTTGCCGGACTAAACCACTGGGAAAGTGTATGATGCCAGCCTCCTAAACAATTTACAATTAATTAGGTTAGCTAAGTTAGTGTTCTGCTACCACTTTATTAGGGTTTTCGGAAACAGATTACCACTTGATTAGACTCTCGGAAGCAAACTTATTCGCTGAACAGTTATACCACACATTAACACAGTTTTTATTTGTTGCCAAAATAACAGTGAAAAAAAAAGAGTGAAAAAAATTGAGTGTAAAGAAAAATTTGATTAATGAGACTATATAAATAAATTTTTTTTTTTTCTAGAAATGTTCTCTTTTTTTTCTTGTTCCGTACAAGAATCTTTTAGTCTTCTTTGTGCATAAAATAGCAATGTTAAATTAGAAGAAAGAAAATGTTTGATAGATTTGTATAAAACATGATAACTCTTAGTATTACAAATTGAAAAAGTAAAAAAAAAAAAAGAAAAGCTAAATATAATTACAATTATTTATTGTTATACTAATTGACACCGATTCTTTTTTGGTGTCATCTATAAAAATTCGATTAACTTTATGCTTTCATTTGTTATTTTCTTTTTTTGTTTTTTTTCCCCCCTCTCTCTTTTGTTGGTGAAATTACAATACAACATTTGTAAATTATCTATTTGAAAAGAACAAAAACAAAAAAAAAATGAATAAAATAACTGAATATTATGCCGGAAAATTTGTTTTGATTAACCAAAATATTAGTTTGTTAGCATTAGTATTATAGCGAAGTGTTAATTTGTTC